TATTTTGGAATAATTATTTGTAATTAATACTCATTTAGATCCCTCTATCGCTCCAAGAGCATCTTTTGTCCTTCCTCCCACCTTTTCTTGTCCATTCATTTTATTTTTCATGTTACATTATTTTTCTTTTTTACTTTCCTCACTTCTCTTTAATAATTTCTAATATGTTCTCTTCTTTTTAGGGGTAGAACTCCCATGTTATAAATTTATTTTATTTATATAATTCTTAGGGCCTGTTCTTAGGGCTTGAACTCTTAACTTCCAGTTTCTTTCAGTTTTTTCTAGTTTCTTCCATTTCTTTCCAATTTCTTCCAGTTCTTCCAGTTTCTTCTAGTTCCTTCCAGTTTCTTCCAACTTTTTTTCATTTTCTTCAAATTCTTTCTACTCCTCAACCAATTACTCTAAAAATGATATATTTCAATGTGATTATTATTATTATTATTATTATTATTATTATTATTATTATTACAACTGTTATATTCATAACTGTAGTTTATAAATTAATTTTTTCATCTCACTATTTTTACGATTCACACTTATTATTTTTTTCTTCAACTTTTTAATATGAATAAGACATTTTTTGTATATTAGTCTACATGATAAAACACGAAAACATCAATATGTTAAATTATACTAAAAAATTATGGATAAAATAGTTACATTGAATGTTTTATTAATATAACTTTTTATAAGACATCTCAGTTTTCCCTTTATTACTTAAAAATTGCTCATTTTTCTAATTTTTATAAAAAAATTATAAGTCAAAAGAGCTTAGAGAAAAAGACTAAAATATGAGTAAAACATAAAAAATGTAAACAAAAAAGTTCTATGTCTTAATTCCAAAAATAGGAATTCAATGAAAATAAAATGTCAATAATGAAAGAAACAGTAGGTTTGATTATGTGACATGTATGATATTTAAAACAAAATGTTTTAATATATAAATTATAATTACAAATACATTATTTATAATAAATACTTCATAAATAAATTGAGTTGCATATAACGACATAGCCTTTTTAAAATTTAATATTTTTATATTGAGTAAATTCCATAATTAGTCCTTTATAACAGGGAGGTTTCCATATTTAGTCCTCTATTATCAAATATTACCTCCGTAGTCTTTTTTTAAGAGTACCTTTCCACAAATGGTCCTTTTTTGATCTTCTGTCGTGTTGGTGTTAATTTAAAGGCTAAAAGTATAATTTGACGTCAACATTATGTCTAGTGACGTGTTCTGATATTGGTTAAACGGATAACACAAAAATAATGACTATGATTGTGGGCTAGGATTCTGACGAAAGATCATATTTGTAGACTATAGTTGTCGTAAAAAGCGACTGTAATTCACAAACGACGCAAACGGAACAGCCTTTGGAGTTGTGTATGACAAAAAAGATATATTATCATTGTGAAATTATACTTTTAGCCCTCAAATTAACAGCAACATGATAGAAGATCAAAAAATGGACTATTTGTGGAAAGGTACCCATAAAAGAAGGATCACTTGGGTAATATTTGATAATAGAGGACTAAATAGGGAAACCCCCCTGTTATAAAGGACCAATTATAGAATTTATTCTTTTATATTTATGCTAACTTTATATTATAATTATTTTTTGTAAAAGTAGTTTTTTGTATATAAAAAATAACAATACTTTTTTTATATCTTAATGACATTCACTAAGATAACGTGATGATGATGATTATGTTGATGATTATGATGATGATGATGATGATTATGATGATGATGATGATGATGATGATGATGATGATGATGATGATAATAATAATTTATAACAACAAGAATTTAAAATAAATATTTTTAAAGTTTTTTTTAGGTTTTCCAGTTTCTTTCAGTTTCTTCCAATATCCAACTCTTTTTTTACAGTCCTAAAGAACAGGCCCTTAATATACTCTGTAATAAGCTACCATACTTTATTTAAACAACTTAAAATTTATGCTTGTGGTTGTGGCCCATGAAAAGTTATTTATATTCCAACATGCCCCCTCACGTGCAGACGTAGTCTTTTTCAAGCCTTGCACGTGAAACTTTAATTTTCTTAAAACTGGGTGGCGCTGAATTTCGAACCCATGACCTCTTAGTCAACAAGGCTCTGATACCATGTCATAGGAACCAATTCAACCAAAAGCTTAAGCTTGTGGTTGTGGCCCAGAAAATGTTATTTATATTCTAACACATATTTGTCCCAATTCTAAAGTGTGCTCCATATATACAAATAAGATTCCAATATTTTTATACCAAATACTAGAACCTATAATGCTAAATAATTCACAATGTCAAACAATATTGTGAAATGCCAACATAAAATGCCAAGTTGCGATACTACATGGTGCCAGCATTTCTATTTTGAAAATACAAACATATGAAGTCATTTGTTTTGTCTAAATTTAATGTTTTGGTCCAATTTAGGTAGATTTTTGACTACTATGTATGACTCCATTCGTCGTGGAATTATCTTTTATTTACTTTTTCTTGGTCAAAATGTTCTAATTTGACTATAAAATTTGGAAAAAACATTTTTAATTATAATATAAATTTTGATATAAAGTTTAAAAATATCATATTTTTATAATAAAAAATTACCTATAAATAGAAATATTAATAATCAAAGTAATATATTGGAGACCGTAAAAAAACAATATGGAGATAATTTTGGGACCGTAAAATGACTAATATATTCAAATAAAGCCAATGCAATATTCTCCATCCATTTTGCATTGGTATACTAAATATTTTAAATGATTTGTTTCTCTTTTCTTTTTCGATGCAAATGATTTAATTGAAAAGTCAAATTTCAGAAATAAATTCTGTAAAAGTCAAAATATAAATTGTTTTAGTGAACTGAGGCAATATTGAAAAGCAATTAATTAGAATTTGTTTAGAAGCATTTTGGAATATATATTCTTCTATAAAATGAAAGAAAAAAAGTAAGAAAATTATTTTGGAAAAGAAAAAAGAAAGTGATGAAATTTCCATGGGAGGGGAGTACTTTTTAGAAAAATATTTGGAGTGTACCCCATTAGCACCATACCACACAATTTTTTGTGTAAATAAAAAAGAAAAATGGAGTAAAAATGTATAGTGACAAAACTAGTAGTGTACATTTGGAGTCTACCATTTAGTGTACCTAAAAATTTGAGTAATAGGTGACCCACGTTGAGTCTTAGGGGTCCTACATGAGATTATACTACGTACAATACATATGCATATTTCTGTTTTTAATTCTAAAATAAAGTTTACTAGTTCTTTTCTACTTTCTCCGTTTCAAATTAGATTATAAATTTTTGGAGTCCTAGCTCTTGATAACTTTTGTTTCTCATTGATTTTTTGATAAATTAAAATATTCTTGTCATGTTTGTACAGCTTTCAACTAAGTTTTTAATATTAAATTTTATTAGTTATTCTTATACCAATTTTAATTAAATTGAGTTTTAAAATGTGAGATTTTGCCTCGTAAAGGGGAAATTGTGATCCAATTTGGATGGAGGGAGTATAAAAGGGGAAAAAATAAGTACTCCCTCCGTCCCCCTGTATTTGTCCACTTTCATTTTTACACACAATCCAATGCACTTCTTTAATCCATTTTATCTTGTAATTTGTATATTAAAAAATTCTAAAAATTATATATTAATAATCTATATGTTAAGACAAATCAAACAAGATCACACATGACTATATTTAGGCTTACACATTGAGAGAATTTGATGAGTCAAAGTGCTTAGATGAACAGTTCCAAAAGTCAAATGTGGACAAATACAGGGGGACGGAGGGAGTAGTTTATAACATTTCTCTCCCCTGTAAATAATTTCTACCACACATCTTAATATTAAACAAATTTTCTATATGTAATAAAGTCAAACTTTGAACATCTTTTAGAGGTGGATGGAATATTTAAACATTTAATCTATCACATGAAACTTCGATAACTTTTTTTCATTACTCATTTAATCTACCTTTGTAACTATATTACGTTACCGGTCTCAAGCACTAATAAAAGAGGAGGGTTATGTTAAGTCTCGGCAACTAACATAAAACTTTGTGGAATCTTCATGACATGTGTCAAACATGATATTAAGCTGAAGTTAGGTCCTTGCCTGGAAGCAATGCACTATATGGGTCGAGTACAGTGTCAAATGATCTAGAGCCGTTGCATCGATGCTTGGGTGTAGTATAAAATAAGCACGCATTACCACGTGTTTGTGAACAGATGCAGGTAATAAGCTAGTTCACAAAGGTAAAGATAAAGGTAAAGGTAAAGGCAAAGGCCAAGATAGGTTGCGGTTTGGGACATGAAACATATAGGCACACTTACAAGTAAGCTAGTTCACCATCTACCGCATCTTTCTTCTTCAATCAACCTGTGTCTATAACGCCACGGCAACCATCGCTCCTCATCATCTTCGCTGCTCCATTGTCTTCCGTCTTTCGTCTCCGATGGCCCGACCCGGTAAACAGAGGAGCGGCTTCAATTCCCGCAGCTTCCGTTCCATTAATTTTCGTTCCTCAATTAGCCGGTTGTACGGGATTTTCCGGTACAGCCGGATGTACGATATAATTTAATGCCTTTTTTTTGTGGTATTCATTTTATTTATTTTTTCTTTTTGAGTTTACTTTTCAATTCATTTGACTAAAATTTCATTCTTTCAAATCTGGTGTGTTCAAATTGATTAAAAACAAAAATACATAAAAGTAAAAATGGACATATAGTCGCAATTACTCCGTGGTAACTTGTACCAGTCTTAATTTAAATTCAGATTATCATAATCTTGAAGATTACTCCAGTTGGGGTAGATGGAGTAGTAATTTTTCAAGTTTATTTTGAAATATGCTGTAATACAGCCTCGGCTTGAGCGACAGAAGGACCACCTCAAGGATTTTAGAAGGGAAGTTCACAGTTTCACTACATTGTAATCCGTAATACAAAACTATAATACTTTCTGGGGAGGCCTCCATCTTTAAATGAGATTCATTATAACTGTGTTATAATTGTTCATTTATAAGAAGAAAATAAGCTTAAAAATAATATAGCAGACGGCAAAAAAATGTTATTGAGTTTATTTACAACTGTTGAAGTGATCAAGCAACCTTTTGGGGTGTATGTGAAGCAAAAGTCATTATGTCCTGATGGCTAAGTTCCAGGTTAATTAATACATTACCAAATCCCGGAGGCATCATATTTGACTTCAACTTGGCGATGTTTCAGATCCAGCGTAGTAGTTTCTGAGTGTGAGGCATAACTTCATACTGCCAAGTTTCATCTTAATACTTGACCACACGGTGGCGTAACCATAGTTCATACATGACCATATGAAAAGCATCATATTTGACAGGGGGTGAATTCCACTGGAAATGTTTCTGGATCTGTAAGATGAAAATGTTCTCTTTTCAGTCTTCGTGTATGTAACGTATAGTAATTTTCGGCATAGTCCTAATTATAAAGATAGTCTAAACACACTGAAGTAGTGCCTACCTTGAGTAAATTGTAATGCAAAGTCACAAACTCCTCTTGAGTAATGTTCTTGAGAATCTGCTTTAGCTCATATACATCCTTCTCCCTGAGTACGACCGCGAATTTATGCCAATTGATTATGTCGTTGAATGGCAAGTCGTAATAATTAGAGAGTATCACTGCAACAAAGCCCAGACAACTTGGATATGAGAAGCAGATTGTGACATGAATTATACACTCACACCAATGACACCATGCAGGCTCCACCACAAAATGGTAGTTGTGAACAGAATTACATATACTCCCTTCGTCCCAATGTTTACGTCCACTTCCATTTTTACACTTCTACCAAGGGAAAGTTAATCTGAGGAATTTACAAAACTGCCTTTATTTTAGAGTGCTCATCTGACAGTGTGAAATAATACTCTGCATAATCTTTGATGTCTTCCATCTCTAGGGATCTGCCTAGTAGCGTCTATCTAGGAGCGGTGACAAATTTGTTTTTACAACCAGTTCATTTAGTATGAATTTGGAAAAATCCGAAGACAGGTTTGTTTTATAAACTGTAATGTCGATCCGGTGGTGATGAACCCACTGGTAATGATGACTGATTGATGGAATAATACAGATTACAGAATCCTCAACGGAGGACATATCCAAGGTGCTGTATTGGGGTCCTACGTGAGCAGATAATGGAGAGATAGAGACGCTTGGTTCTCTAGATTGGGATCCTGCATCTGGAGGGTCTAGGTGACTAATTACAAAAGGAAGTACCCCAACACAACCAAGGAGATAAATATGTGTTAATGGCGAACTGGAGGACCTAGGTGTTGCTTTTTTTTTTAACGGGGTTTATTTTGAGTTGGAGAGCAAAATAGTCAATTTGAGGCTAAATAGCACATCATGAATAGAAAGTGGTAAAATACACAAGGACTATCCAAAAAGGAGAACTAGACAAGTATTTTGAGACGGAAGGAGTGCCAATTAGGCAACAAGAATTTAATCAAAGTTCTCAAACTGGTTAACCTTTCTTGACTTTCATAGCAAACACATACTCTGGTATTTGACATAATTTGGGTTATCCAAGGCGCATTAGGTAACATTATGTGGCCGAGATTACTGACTTTGCTGATCTTTCTGAAAAGACAAGTGTAACTGGCATCTATTATTACCAAATTAGTCAAAAGGTATTTGTAACACTCCATCCCTCCTATATCTTTCTCCCTGTTTCCCTTTTTTGGTTGTCCTATATCTTCTCTTTCCTTCAAATGGAAATATGATTCACCTTTTTTACAACTAAAAGACTACTTTACCGTTACTTTTGCGCTATTCACCTTTTTTACATCTCCCTTCAATTTATTGCACCATCAAGGGAAAAAATGGAAAGTCAAGTACTTTTTCATCTTACATTAAAAATCATGCCAAGCCAAACAAGAAAATATATGGGACGGAGGGAGTAGCTTGTTAAGCTGATACGCAGAATAAGCTGAATTTATATGCAATGTAAACCATGTTTATTAGGGAAGGAGTCAAGCCCAAATCGCACGCGGAAGCTTGGGAAAGCCAGAAACAGTAGATTTAAGTTTGGAATTTGTGCAATCTATGGAGGTGAATGGAATCCAGGTGGCGAAATTCACCAAGGAAGACATAATGGAACAATCCAGGTATTGGGACTCTACGATGATTCTCTGTGTCTTGGGAGCAAATCCACCAATTGATGTTATTAAAGGTTTCATTGCAAGACTGGAAAATGTTCCCTATAGAGGAAGTGGCTGTACTTAAGGAAGGACAATTTATTGTCAAGTTTCAAAAAGAGGAAGATAGAGATGAAGTGATAAAAAGGAAGTACTATTTCTTTGATAAGAAACCAGTCCTAGTGCAGAAATGGAAGCCTGGAAAAAAGGTGGATATCACTGATCTCAAGGATATCCCTATTTGGATACAATTCCCAGATCTTGAGATGAAGTACTGGAGTGCATCGGGCCTGAGCAAGTTGGGAAGCCTTATTGGAAGACCTGTAAAAAGAGACAAAGCTACTGCCACTGGGATGAAGTTTGCATATGCAAGGATCCAAGTGGAGGTAGGGGTGTATCAGGATTTCCCAAAGCAGATTAATTACATTGATGAAGAAGATAGGGTCATAACCCAGAAGGTGACCTATGAGTGGTATCCTTGTATGTGCTACCATTGTAAGAAGATAGGGCATGAACAGGAGTATTGTAGACTGAAAGATAAAAAACAGGAGAAACAGGAGCCAAGGAAAATGGTATGGAGGGTCAAGAAAGATGAAAGTGACCAAAAACAGGATAATTTTGAGATAGAAAGTGATATAGAGGAGCATAAAGAGATTACCAATGAAAATAACCCAGACACCCTTGACCAAGATGGGTTTACTGAGGTTAGTGGGAGGAAAGCCGCAAGGAAGTTGGTATTGGAGAATAAAGAAGAGTGTGATGAGAAAGGATTGAACAAAATACTGAGTGAGGTGCCTTACTCAGGACATTACCCCTTTCTTAAATGATTAGTAGTTGGAATGTAAGAGGACTGAACAGTCCTAATAAGCAGACTGAAATCATGAAGTTTGTCAAAAATAATGATGTGGTTTTATTTGGGATGCTGGAAACTAAAATAAAGGATAAAAAGTTTAAAGAAGTGGAAGGAAGAATGTTCAAGAATTGGGGATCTTTCATCAATAATACAGTCCATCACATGGGAAGGATTTGGGTAGTTTGGAACCTCAATAAAATCATGGTCCAAATACTTGAAGTTACAGATCAGCTGGTGAACTGTAAATGCAGGAAAGCAGGAAATGATATGGAGTACTTCATCACTTTTGTGTATGGACACAATGATCCCAGTAAAAGGAAAGAGCTATGGAGGGAGATAGGTAACATAGCTAACCACATGAATAAACCTTGGTGTATTATGGGTGATTTTAATAATGTATTAGGTTTTGACGAGAGGATTGGAGGCAGCCCAGTAACATGGGAAGAGATTAAGGACTTCAAAGAGTGTGTTCAGAGTAATGGACTGGAGGATCTCCCCGCTGAGGGAGCTCAATACACATGGTCAAATAAACAAGGCCCAGGCAGAAGGATCTACTCAAAAATTGACAGGGCTTTAATCAAATATAGAATGGACCGTCCAGACTAGTTACAGGTCAGAGAGGAAGGTCTATCAGATCATACACCCCTTATAATCAAGGTGTGGGAGCAGGATAAGGGTGGTAAAAGGTTTAAGTTTTGTGATATGTGGACTCTGGATCCCAACTTCCATATCATGGTAAGGGAGAGCTGGGATCAACATATCCAAGGAAGAAGCATGTACCAGCTGGTCAGGAAGATGAAGAATTTAAAGACTTCACTCAGAAGGTTAAATAGGGAGAGGTTTGGAAATATTATCCAAAAGTGTGACATAATTAGGGAAAAACTATTCTCTATTCAACAGAAGATTAAGAAGAGTATTAATAATGAGTCATTGATCAGCAAAGAGAAACATTTGATCCAACAACTGAATTGGAATTTGAAAGCAAGCTATCTACTGAAGTGTCAACAAGCAAAGCAAGAATGGATTCTTGAAGGTGATCAAGATTCCAGACTATTCCATGCATGGATTAAAAGGAGGCATATTCAAAACCACATCACTGCAATATATAACAAGAAGGGAGAGATGGTTGAAGACTTGAAGGTAAGGATAATGTGGCTAGGACTTTGATGGAATACTACCAAGAGGTCCTAGGGACTACAGTATGGACTGAAAACATTAAAGAAGAGATTATCAAAAGAGGAGGGGTTTTGACAGTGGAACAGCAGCTGAACTTGATAGCCCCCATTCCCCCAGAACTAATTAAGAAATACATATTTGAGATCCCTAACTATAAAAGCCCAGGACCGGATGGATTTAGCAGTGGGTTCTTCAAGAACCAATGGAGCTTAGTGGGGGACTTGGTTACACAGGCAGTAATGGAGTTCTTCCAAACACGCACTACCCTTAAAGAGGTAAATGCAACCATCATTACCCTCATTCCTAAAGTTGATTGTCCTAAAGGCCCTGCAGACTTCAGACCTATCTCGTGTTGCAACGTGATTTACAAGGTCATATCAAAAATAATCTGTAGTAGATTGAAAGAGGTCTTGGCATATATTGTTGATCAAAACCAAGGTGCTTTCATTTCTGGTAGAGATTTGGTTCACAATGTCTTGGTTTGTCAGGAATTGGCTAGAGGCTATAAAAGGAAGGGGATATCCTCCCGATGTATGATGAAACTTGATATCAAAAAAGCATATGATTCAGTTAGTTGGAAGGCGATGACACAAATCCTGCAACGATACTTCAAGGGTGGATTCAAGTATCTCACCTAATTAAAGACACACTGTTTATGTCCATTCTCAATTCAACTTGATGGTGAAATGTTTGGGTACTTTAAGGGAGGGAAAGGACTCAGACAAGGAGATCCCATATCACCATTGTTATTTGTGGTGGTCATGGAATATCTCACAAGGACTCTCCATCACTACGCTGATCAGAAGAGGTTTAAATTTCACCCCATGTGTAAGTCTTTGAAGCTGATTAATTTGGTTTTCGCAGATGATTTGATTGTGGTGTGCAAGGCAGATGAGGACTCTATTAAGGCTGTATTGAGTGCACTGGACCACTTCAAAGAGGTTACTGGCCTACACATAAACACTGATAAATCTCAGATTGTTATGGGTGGAGTGAACTTAGAAACAGAGAATAGATTCTTGAGACTAACTAAAATGACTAAAGGGGAATTTCCTTTCAGATATCTAGGCTGTCCCATCACAGCTGCAAGGATTGGACAGAGAGAATGTGATAGGCTTGTTGAAAAGCTTACCACTAAAATCAGCTCCTGGGCGACTAAGCATCTTTCATACGCGGGTAGGATAAGACTTATAAACTCTGTGCTGTTTGGTATTGTCGCCTTCTGGTCCCGAATGTTTATCATTCCAAACAAGGTCATGAAAAAGATTCAAGACGTATGCAGGAACTTCCTCTGGGGCTCTTCACCCATGTACAAGAGATGTCCACTGGTGGCATGGGAGGATATCTGTCAGCCTAAGGCTAATGGGGGGTTAGGCTTGAAGAACTTAGTAAAATGGAATAAAGCTAATGCTATGCAGCTGATCTGGGATATAGCCAACAAGAAAGATATCCTATGGGTTAGATGGATGCACCATAGGTATCTAAAGCAAAGCACAATATGGCAGTATGAAGGAAGTGGGGACAAATGTTTCTACTGGAAAAAACTATTGAAGGTGATGGAAGAGTTTAAGGCCATGCCTGTGAAGGGAGATTATACTATTCAGGAAGGCTATAAGTGGATTATGGGAGAGAGATCTAAAGTGGCATGGGTTAATACAGTTTGGAACAATTGGACCCAGCCTAAACACCAAATAGTGGCTTGGCTAATCTGGAAAGGGAGACTACAAACAAGAACCAGGTTGAGCAAATTCATGCAACTGGATACTAGATGTGGAATCTGTGAAAGGTATGAAGAGGATCTGGACCATTTGTTTTGTTCTTGCCAATACGCCACTGAAGTGCTTAGTGAGGTATTTAAATGGATGGGAATGTGGACATTAACGTTCATACACTAAGAGAGGTGGAGAAGATGATGGATGCTTGCAAGAGTAGAAAAGAAAGAAAGCTAAGGGAAGCAACATTCAACGCTAGTTGTTATGCTATATGGAGAGCTAGGAACCAGATTATCCATGGGAAAGAACCCATCTCGGCTAAGGAGTGCATTGAATACCTTAAATTCCAAATGTATACTTTTGTAATTCCTAAATCTAAGTAGCAATAGGGAGGGTGCAGGAATGATTGTTTAGCCGAGGGCTGAGTTTGTATTGATTCCTATGGAATAAAAATTTGCATTTCGTTCAAAAAAAAACCATGTTTATTAGTGTGTGACGAATTGACGATAAAAAAACTAAACACTTTTTTTAGGATTATGTGTCTCTATGGATTGATGTGCATGCTAATTAGCAATTACTATGCTGTGAAACCCTGGAATTTCCCTTTTCCCTAGACCTTCATACAAGAATTCCAGAATGCTGAGTCAAGTGTCATGCATTTACCCTCTGCTTCAAACTCATCCCTGTTAGTTATTAACTTTCATGTGCAATTGACATATGATGTGACAAAGAACAGAAGAAAATAACTAATAACCAGTTCGAACTATTCTCTCTTAAAAAATAGAATCAGATGCGTACCAGGAATGCATGCATAGTGTATGGAGTCTGCTATGCGAGCACTATTGACCTGAGAGCCACCAGGGCATATGCAGAACTTAGTCCTGTAAAATCTCTTTTGATAAAGTAGATGTCCACTGGCCCTGTTTATCCTGTTGTTAGATATATCAAGTTCTGTGTCATTCTCCCATACACGAGCCAAGATCACCCTAATTTTAGAGTTCCTATGGCCCGCCCAGAATCCCAGAGATGTCCTGTGAAAGAGGATAACTGTTGTTAATTTCACCAAGTCTATATTATTGAATGCACATTTGTTTACTGCAAAAAAAAGAAGGTAAAGAACTGAAAACAGATCCTACATACATTGGAAATATTTGCATGCTACATTAACATGCTACAAGTATTTGCAGGTTACATTAACATGATACAAGTTCCTTCTGTTTATTATGAAGGGAGAGTTTCAGAGAAGTGTTACATAGTCATTGTAGACCACCACGGTAATTCGTTACCTCTATTAAACTATGTAGGAAAAAAAAGAGTAGTAAAACAAGCTGTGGTCGAGAATGGTTACTTTAAATTGACAAATATTCTCAACCTCAAAAGTGTGATGCCAAAATGATAGGCTGAACATCCGTTAAGTAATGTTTTATGCATAGCCATATGAAGCATATGCCTACAAGAATTCGGTATCTAAACATTTTAAGGTGTAGCCTAACCAAAGCTTATTCGGGTATGAGAATTAAGAAACTCAAAACAGAAAAGCAACACATGTAATGAGAGTTAGCCACCTTTGTAAAGTCAAAGCTGATAGTTCATAGCAGCTGACCACATTGTTGATTATTCAATTCATAGATATCAAAAAGTGGCCAAGTGATACCACTGTCGACATTGCTTGTTGGCCTCATGCTTTCTTGTTGAAAAACATGTTACCTCGGTACCATAAAGTTTCCGAGGTGCTTATAGATCAAATTATAATTCTTATAAGATGAGGAAACAATCACAAAGTCTGCTAATCATCAATAATCTAATAAATATCTTATGTGTGCCACAAACCAGTAATTCTGTTTGGGTCTGGAAGGGTAAAGATGTATGCCACCTTACCGCAATAAAAAACAGAGAAGCTCTTTCCATTAGACCCTTGATGTATTGCTTCATTTTTAGCCAAAACTTCATAGAAAGTAAGAAGCAAGGAAAGGGAAAGTCTAGGTGCCATATTATTTAGTCCATGTTTAATCAGAAGCAAAGACATTGTCCAAAACAGCTATTTCAGCTACATTGGCAATGGACAGTGCAAGATAATGTAAAATAAGAGGGAGAATGCACATCAAAGATATTTCTTAGCATAACATTCCATAAATCAGATCACCATACTTAATAAGAATTACCCAAAGTAAAGCAAGGAAGTGCATCAAAAATTAGATGAGCTCTCCGGTCTCCTTTTTCATCATATGTTCAAATTTACTGCACTACCTATTCTCCACATCATTTCCACCAGCTGGAAGAGCAAATGGTTGCAAAACTTGAGGGAGTGCAACATCTTTGTGCGGAATATATCCAACATCGTAGCTTGGGGAGCACACAACACGAATGGAATTCTTTATGAGAAAGGGATGTCCTTCAGTAGCCCTCACACCAACATCATGACAAGTAACAAAAAAGTGATCAGCACCTAGGGTTCTGTTCCAGTATGGGTACTTCACTATTAAGCTCTCAACATAGTTCTGTACAATTATGGTCATATTCTCATAGGATGTTCCCTGCATGTGTTCAAGTTAGGAAGGATAAGTTCTCAAGATAAATGAATACTGTTCTTGGATTCCGATCCCAAAAGTGAAATAATACTTCCCCTGTCCATGGATTATTACCCACTTTGACCAGGCACGACATTTAAGAAAATGGTGGTTGAGATTTCTTCAAAAGAGAGAAGTAATATGAACTGCATATTGATTTCTTTAAAAGAAATGGGTGATAATTAGGGACGGTTGAAAGAGGAAAGGGGAAGATAAATTAGGGACGAGATAAAAAATGGAAACTAAAAGATAAAGGCTTTAATAGGAGAGAACTTAAATTATAAATTCAATCTTCGTAGCCCCAAATATCAATTCAAAAAGAAGAATTCCGTATAAACCAACAATAGTGCACTGTGAACAGGTTATAAAAGCCTGGAAGAAAAGGCAAGAGTCATCAGGTGCCAAGTTGCATGAGTACTTGTTTCGTTAAATAGATATGGCTTATTGTTTTACGAGTAAACCCCCAAAGTCTCCAAACTAGACGCAAACAATTCTAAACATACTGATATGTTTGTGGAGTCTTAAGATTCAAAGCACTGATACATCTAAGGATTTACGGAGCATGGCAATTTGTGGGCAAGTAAATGCTTTTCTTTTTATTTGGCAAATTCTAAAATGCATCTGACCAGTTCAGCATCAAGCAGATGCTTCTCAGGATATAACAGTTGTACATACAATCCAAGTTCAAAATACCAACCAATTCAATGCATAAAACATTACACTCAACAGATTTTCTAAACATTCCTGGATAAAATCTCAGTTAGAATTCACTAATGTAGACATCTTGCCTACAATTGGCAGGTCTTGCCCCAAATTGAGTCAAAAGCCTTCCTTTCTACAACTAGGTAAGCAAGCTTTAATTATTTGTAACCAAAATGGTAGCCCATCCTAATTCAAAATCCAGCTTCTCCGTGAAAATGCATTGTCTAAACCACTCATTGCTAGTGAAATACCTCTAAGATAAAATATCAAAGTTGCACAGAGGAATCCAAACCATGAATATCCAGAGCGAACCACATTGCGGAAAAGATTTACCTTTCCTCTCATCTTATGGCAGGATATTGGAATGAAGAACAAGTGAGCCTGATCTGGATCGTCCGTAACAAAATTACTCTCCCTGATATTCTGGAAAAAATAGCCCTCACTGGCGTACTTCCCGGTCAGCTTCCTCGGCGTCTGGTAAAAGGTATTCGGATCGCCATCTGGATATATATACACCTTGAACTTTTTCTCCATTTCCGCATAGTTCAATCTGAATACATCCGGCGAATGATACACATCTGACAAATCGTCTTCCTCGGGCGATAATGAATCTACTGGCACTTCAATGGACGCGGAACTTCCAGTGGCATTAGTAGCCGAATTTATAACCTGAAAATTAAGATCGAGGAACTTCGGAATTGAGTTTTGATATAATCAGAGGGCGATGAGGATGAAATGAATTGGAGATTTTACCAGTGTCCGTTGGAAATGAGAAGGATTGGAGGAGGATTCGATGAAAGGTGAATGGAGAGACTTCAGCGAGATGCAACTGAAGGAAAGTAAGGTTAGAACGGCGAGAGTGAGAATAGAGCATTTGAGAGTGCAGACGGTGGCAAGTGATGTCGGCAACTGCGACGGTCTCGCCGCCGACATGGCTGGCGGAGGGGTGGTTTCCGGCGATTTTGAAGGAAGTTCGATGTTCCCTCTGAAATGTGTCAGCAATAAAGCCGGACTTGGAAGCATGAAGAAATGGCAGCTAATTGTTTGAGTGTGATTCCGTCCCCACTCCCATATTGTTTTCCTCATATTAATTCTATTCCTTATTTTGCAGGTCAAGGAGAACAGAAATCTCGTGTGAAATAGAAGGGTAAAAGCTCGTTTGATTCTGATTTCCAGTACGAATACGAACCGTGAAAGCGTGGCCTAACGATGGAGCCAAAATTTCATCATTTTTGGTTTTGGGGTGTGATGGAATAAATCAAAATGGATCTCTAAACTATCTGCGCTTCTTTAATTAATGAAGTAGCAGTTAGTCAAACAATGCAACTTTTGACGTTGAGCCGGGGGTCTCTTTGGAAACAGGCTCTCTACTTTCGACTAGGGGCAAGGTCTGCGTACACACACCCTCAAATTAAAATATAATTTTATTCATAAATTAGAATTGAAATTTTTTATCTCAAAATAGAGAACTATGTTATTATGACAATGTGCATTCTTAAATGTATTTTGATACGAAATATAATATATTAACATTATTAATATAATCAAGAACTAAGAACTCTCTAGTCTAAGGGTCCTTGAAAATTGTGATATTATACTCTTAAGGTACATTTTGTCCATTTAGACGTCAGGATTGAAATTTTTTTATTTTGACAAATTGAAAGATAATTCTTAAAATTCAATAAAATAATTATTATCAAAGTAAAATTTAGTATTTGTCAAAGTAATGGAACTTTTAATCATAACAACCAAATAGACGAAGCGTACCCTCAGAGTACATTACTACAAATTTTAATGAACCCCAGAATTTATTTCAAATAATGTGAGACTTGAAATACTTTTATCTCAAAAAAATCGAAAATACTTCAGAGTAATTTTCTAATAAAATATCCTTGAAAGTTAGATGTTTTTGAGGTTACAAAGAACAAAGATATTTACCTTTTGTTCAAGACCATAATTAAATGATTTCAACATTTGGCAGCAGCCAGCAGACTTTCATTTCTCCCACGCACACAACTATGAATTTCATGACACTTCTGGTTTTTCTCATAATATGGGGATTTCCATAATTAATCCTTTATAATATGGGGATTTCCATATTTAGTCCTTTATTATCAAATATTACCCCCGTAGTCCTTTTTTTAAGGGTACCTTTCCACAAATGGTCCTTTTTTGATCTTCTGCCGTGTTGGTGTTAATTTAAAGGCTAAAAGTATAATTTGATATCAACATTATGTCTAGTGACGTGTTCTAATATTGGTTAAGCGGATAACACAAAAATAATAACTATGATTGTGGGCTAGTATTCTGACGAAAGATCACATTTGTAGACTATCGTTGTCGTAAAAAGCGACTATAATTCACAAACGACGCAAACGGAATAGCCTTTGGAATTGTGTATGACAAAAAAGATATATTATCATTGTGAAATTACACTTTTAGCCCTCAAATTAACACCAACATGATAGAAGATAAAAAAAGGACTATTTGTAGAAAGGTATCTATAAAAAAAGGACCACTGAGATAATATTTGATAATAGAGGACTAAATAGGGAAATCTCATGTTATAAAGGACCAAATATAGAATTTACTCAAAAAACAAGTAATGAACAATGCAAGCAATGACAACTGGACATTGAAATTTACAGCAATCGAGTCTCGGGTTGTAACATGTACAAAAAAATTCCACCTGCAACCGAAGCGTTAAGAGACTCGAACTCGCCTGGCATTGGAATGCTAACAAGCTCACATACTTCCCTGGATTTCTCTGAGAGGCCGCTTCCTTCACTTCCCAAAACCAGACACAACGGCTGATGGGCCAAAGAGTTGGCAAAGCCTTGATCAAGTTGAGCTGCCGTTTTTGACCTTCCATCACTTGCAGGATGCCCAGCTAGCATCTTCATCTTGAAGTTTTCTGAAAGCTTCTGCAATAGCATCCAACCACCAGAAAGTACAGGAAGCTGAAAGCAAGCTCCCCGGCTAGCTCGGAGTGCTTTCTCATTGAATGGATCACAGCATCCAGGAAGCAGAAACACACCATCCTGTTGAGAAAGTAAGAAGCTCTAGCTTCTTAGGTTTTTTTCTAATTCAAGCAAGTATAAGAACAAAAGACGGGGAGAAATAGACAATTTATGGATCTAAAAGACCAGACGTAAAATGGAATGTAAATTACCCATTTAAATGCCAGCGCTGATCTAAGCAGTGTGCCAAGATTTCCTGGATCCTGCATCAACATTTATAGCATTATATAGATTATGAAGTGAAACAGGAATTCTAAATCGTAAGGGAGAAAAAGATAAGGATATCTATTTCTCAGTGTTCCAGTACATGCAAGGAACTTTGATTTTTTTTTTTTTAAGATTTTATAAATTGAAATCTTTTTTCAATTTAATGGTAATTCAGTCCCGTATCTAACCTTAGGCTTTTAATTATAACCAAGTGAGCATAAGCATATGGGGATCTTTTAAGTTGGCCTCACATAAGGAGCTAATACCATTTCACAGTTATAAGCTTTACTATAAGAAATCAAATAGTTTATATGGGACATCAGGTAAACAGTTGCAAGTCTTATGCTTATTTTGGTTGGAAAAATAAGGATTATGAATTTGGTGAGGTACTAAGACCTATGAAAGGACATATGTAAGCCGGTCCACTGTAAGATCTCTCCTAAAGCAAGAGGTGAATTAGGGATTATGATTTGTCCAACGCCAAGATTATATTGATCGCTAGTATTCAAAGTATTTGGAAGCAGATTTTAAAATGCCGGAAAATTGCTACATATCCTCTTCGCTTGCATCAGTGGTGCAGGAGATTGGAGAAGGATCGACCGAAGATTATCAAGGCTATCTGCTTGTGTAGCACAGCAGTTTTATTACTGGTATAAAAGGGAAGAAACAACATGATCTTTGAAGCTACTGAATACAGATAGCGATCCCAAAATTGCAAACAAGATATTATTGATAACCTAACGGATGCATTTAGATTCTTGGCTCTCTGTTGTAAGAAAGGGGTTTGAGTGGGAAAAGTATGTTCTTGATTGTATTTAGCTATTTGTTTCCTTTTAAATTAGCTATCAGTATTTGGGTTGTTCTACAAAAACCCTTAGTTTTGTACTTTCCTGCTAGTTGGGAGTGTGCTTAATAAGAAATTCCATGCCTGTTAGAGAAAAAGAAGAACCTGAATACCATCAAGAACAAGAATTCGATGTGCAAACGGAAACCATGTACTACAATCTTCCTCTCTACAGTGATCACCAACATTGCGAAAACTTGAGGGAATCCTGAATAGGGCAATCATTCTGATAGAATCAATTGATTGCACACCCGAGAGTTTTTTCATCACCGTTGAGTTGACACAAACAACCCGGGCAGAACAAAAAGCTATCTCTTCAGGGATTTGAGTATCATCAAGTACAAGTAAGCATTCTATTTTGATATGCCTCCCTAGCACTTTTTCTTGAAATCTGCATATTTCCCTGTTGGAAGCAACACCATGATGTAATAGACATCAGCTGATATATATCATGCCAAATAAAATGAAAAAGTTAAAAACAAAAAGAGGGTAATAGTGAACCATTTCCCGGACAGTAAACTCCAGAAAGAATGAAAGGCATCATCTACCTTTTCAAGGTAGGGTAAGGTCTACGCACACCCACGACTAGACCCAAGTTGTGAGATTTTACTGGGTCAGTTATTTTTATGTTGGAATATAACAACAATAAAGCTAGAGTTACCCAAAAACGTAACCCCAACCATGACCCCAAGCTTTGCACAGATCACAGAGAGTGTTATTGTCGGTGTTGCACAAACAATAATAGTCCGTGTGGTCTGTGCAAAGCTTGGGGTCATGGTTGGGGTTATCTTTTTGGGGTTACCATAGCACGGTTCATATAACAATACTCCTTGTAGAAAATCAAAGTTCCAAGAAATAAATACCCACAATATTAAATCTACACATTTAAGATGTAAAAAAAATCAAAATTACATCGTTACAGCCACAATTCCAGATAGATCAGAAACTGGTCTGCTCAGAAGTTTAATGTTGCACACTTGGACGTGAGATAAGGATGAAATTTGATTTACACTGTGATCAAGTGATGAACCTAAGTAATGGAGAAGGGAAGAGTTCAAAAGATTCGAGCCCAGAACATCATGGAAGCCAAATGTCACTCCACTCCTTTTTTTCAGTGGGTATTTCTTACAAACATCTAGACTACATTATTACTCAGTGAATTATGCCAAAACTGCCAATGATGGAGTAAACTTTCATCACCACCTGTAATCAGTTTCGTTAAACATTTCCTGGTTTCAAAATGAAGTTTCGATTATGACCAATAAAAGATACATACCGGATGGGAGTAGAGCCAACCACGACAACTACGCCATGGAGGAGGCGATAAGAGGAACTCGTGAGAAGTTTATAACAGTGCTTCACAAATGGGTTTGAAGTGCTTGAGATGGACGTGACATGGTGAGGTAAAGCAATAGTCTTCTGCAAAACCTTGGAACTTGAGGAGCAACAGAAGGATGGGTTTCTGGGTTTGAATCGGAAAGGCGATCGCTTGCTACCTGAAGTGGATGATAATGATGCGGGGGCCAGCGGTGCCGGAAGATTGGATGCCGACGGCGTAAGAGCGCATTGCATCCTCGTCTGGAACTATTCGTGAAATTTTGCTCACGCGCGTCTTGTGTAGATGAAATGCAAGTTTGGTTTGCCAATTGCTCCAATGAGAGTTGCAGAACAAACTTTATTTCAACTTCTCTGGTTTTGCAAGAAGTACCTGATTCACTTGAGCAATTGGCGACCGGCGGCAGGCGGCAGACTGAGGTGCTCAAACTTGCATTGATTATATGAGTATCCAAATATGATTATATGAGGAGCTCTGTGGTGGTATTTGAAATACGGAGTATTAGAAGTAGAATTTTTCTCTTAGTGGGAGTAGCATGATGTTGGAAATTGAAACAATCACAAGAAATGATATTGAAACAATATGCAGGGAAGCATATTTTCAAAAGAAATAATCCGTAGTTTACTTATAGTCAAACATTAATTCAATTCATAGACCCTCTCCAATTAATGGGAATGTTAATCACAAGTACTCTGGAGTAGCTAACACCATTCCGACCCTCTCCATTTAAAGTCCGGTTTAAAGTTCTTAGGTTTGAAAATACAAATCAAACATTTGATTGAAACTTAAATTTTCAATTTTTCAGCCAAAAAAGAATTTGATATAAGGAAAGTAAGATATATATATATATATATATATGTATGTATGTATGTATATATATGTATATATATATATATATAATCCACAAGTTGTTATCACTAACCTTTGTTGGTTGTCAATGAATGTCAGCGGTGTGAATACATGTCTATATAACAAATATCGGAGGACAAAGAATAATCCTCTGACCATATTTGTTTGTGAATCAAGCAGCCAATTACAGAAACACATGCCTATAACACGTGAGTTTTCCAAAATAAATGACGGAAAATATAATGGGCTTAGAGACTAACCTCCTGAAATTCAAATGACCAACTAACTAATTCATCCAGGGGCATACATTAATCTAAAAACAAATTAAAATAAACAGAATTAGTCTACACAAACAAGGGAAAAAAAGATAAAATAACTTACAGGCTAACCTTTTTACTATGTTCAAAAGTCATCAAAATTGGAAGAATAAAGTTTATAGATGAAGAACAAAATTTTAAATATGACAGTGGGGTGCCACCGTACTCCGGTGTCACTAGAACTCCACCGTATAGCGTATGTCTAATAAGCTCAGAAATTTGAAGTATTCAATTAACAACAGAAAAGAGAAATTGTTAGCACATAACATCAAACTAGAGAAAGAATGTTGATACTAAACTCACAAGAATGATAATAAACGAAAAGAAGTAACACAATAAATAAATTGATAAAAATGCAGCATATGTTTAAGACACAGATTCAAGGTAAATTGAACTTGCATTATCTTCACGCCTGCAATTAAAAAGAAGGTGCACGCTACATATGAAGGTCAAACTTTTGCTAACAGTTATCACACAAAAAAAAAAATAGATTAATGAAGGGGAAAGCAATATCATATGACGATTACAAATAGAGAAATCAGTGAAAAATAATAACAAGGTTTGAAAGTTGGTAGTCAAACTTTTTAAGTTTCCAATTATGGCTAGTAAAAATAGGGAAAAAAACATATATGGGATTGATTCTTAAGAACCAAAATCAGTCCAAATTAAATAGAACTTTTTTGATAAAAAAAAGACAGAAAGATAAAACGCATGCTCTGTAATGTCCATGGCCCAAAACCGCAGAACAAGAAAGAGAGTGGGTGTGGGGGATAATCAAAAGTCAAGGCTCTAGAACCTCCTTTTTTTTTACCCCAAATTCCAAATGTCACATATTCCCTTGGGTTGATTTTCACTGACTTTTGCCTTTCTTCTAACTCAATCATTGCAAGAGATGGAAAAAGAAACTGCTATATTTTTCAAGTGCCTTGCTGAACGAACATGTTATCATTCTTAAAATCCAAAATTTAATAGCTGATATAAAAGAAAAGGTAAAAAGACAAGATAAAATTGGAACGATTTTACCCGGCTAAAGAAGAGGCAAACTGGTGAAGAGAATGAAACAGGAATGATGGGATAAGGTGAAGATAAGATAGAAAATGAATATCTTGGGCGGTGGTGGGAAGAAGACGGCGCCAAACGGAAATATGACTAAAATAACGGAGCTAAACGTGATAGCCCCATGGCTTATAATATAAGGGAGACTCCCTCCCCACTATCAAACTAAAATACAAATTTTAATAAAATATTTACGTAGTACTAAAACTTAAGTTATTTGTCTTAAATATCAATTAAATTATTCTATTTCTTAAATAGCATTTAATAATGTTTAAAAAAAATAATGATCAATGATGTCGAATATTTACTTGAATGATGACTAATGGATAATGACTAAAAGTGCTACATTGGAAAAAAACACATATGATGCTATTTAGAGAAAGTCATTATGTTATAGTGCTATTTAAATAAATTCTCCAATTTTAATTACTTTATTTACCAATTTTTGTTACAAGAAAAAATAATATAGTCCCGTCACTTCTTATTTTATGTAATCTTTTATATAGTTTTTGAATCTATATTGAGTAATTGATTTACTAATTACATATCAATATCTAAATAAATTTAAATTGAAAATAATTTCAGTCAAATATAGTAAATAATTTCTAAATTTCCTTTTAAAGTTGTTTTTATAAAGCTCTTAAAGTTTAAAAATTATTTTTGTTTGGGTCAATTTGGCCAGGCCTGAAAGATGAAAAAGGCCCACAGGAGTCCATGTGCGGTCACAGAGGCCTGGTAGCCATTTGGCCATTCAAAACGGCTATTACAGCACAATATCTCGTCTTCAAAGTTCAAACGGTCGCCATATTGAAATTTGAACTCCTCTTTCCTTTATCAAAGAAAATGCACGCCACTCTTTGAACAGGTCCGCTCGATTCTTGATTTCAGCTCTCCTCTTCTACTTCCTCTCTCAGTCTCCCTTATTCCATGCCTGCGAATCCCATGGATACCATTCGACCCGACCCGTTGGAGGAATGCCCGGAAGCTCATATCCCGGACCCACTTGTTTCCGATTGGGCAAAACCCTCGGGTCAAGAACCGGTCGGTTTACCGGCGACGGAGCAAGATGAAAACTTGGCGCTCTTGGCGGAATCTATGCTCTGTGATTCGGGCTCACGTCTTGTCCCTAGCGGGTTTAGAAAACCCTCTTGTACAGGTTCCTTTAAATTTATGTTTCATTTTTTAAAAAAATTGGGGCTTTTGGTATTTCCCATGGTGTTCTTTCGAGATTCTTTTAGTTTATATGATGTTTTTATAAAATTTAATTGCGCGTGTTTAATGAGAAATTGAAGTAGAAATGAAAAAAAATCACCCTTCATAACAAAGGTTTGAATCAATGCTGTTTGGTTCTTACGTAATCTGCAAAAATGAAAGGAAAATTGAACAATAAAAACTGATTGAAACAAAGGATAGGGCTGTTAAGAAGAAACCAAGTATACTGACTTTGCTGTACTTTTTTATTTTGCTGCTGCGTAGAAGGAGAGGATATTCTGTACTTCATTAATGCTGGTGCGGAGGCTTCCGTAGAATCCGACTCAAGTGTAAGCTTTGTGTCAGACCAATTTTTTGAAGGGGGGAATGCATTTCAAACAAAGGATTTTATTGCCGAGGGTGGAGATTTTCCCTTCTTATATCAAACGGCGAGATTAGGGGACTTTACTTATTATGTCACCGATCTTTTTCCTGGGGAATACTATGTTGACCTTCATTTTGTAGAGATTATAAACATCAATGGGCCAAAAGGGATGAGAGTTTTCAATGTGTTCCTTCAAGACGAAAAGGTAATTTGGTGTTGGAGCTATATAAACTTTATGTTAGTATTTGAGAATTTAAATTCATGTTAATTGTATATTTGTTTAGTGCAGGTACTTTCAGATTTCGACATCTTTTCTGTTGTTGGATCCAATAAACCTCTGCAATTAGTTGACTCTAGGGTTTCTATCAAAGATGACAAATTGCTTGTTATAAAGTTTGAGGGTGTTATTGGAACTCCCACAGTTAGTGGCATTTGTATTAGGAGAGCTCCAGATGTTGCAGGTCACTACTCATTTTTTCATTAATCATATTTCAATCTAAGGTGTCATCTGCAACTGAAAGTAAAATAATCATGAAAGTAATTTCTGGAGATATGTTTATTCAGTCGCAGGCAATGGGGCAAAACAAGAACATCTTACTTGTACAAATTGTGCTGCAGAGATAAAATTTCCGTCAGCTCAGGTATAATGAGTGACTTTAGTTTTGTGAAGTTTGTGTTTTATTCTCTTAAGTTTTCCTGACTAAATTTTTTGGAGTTAATGCAGAAGAAAGCTATGCGATTGCAATCAACAGCCAAATTTGAGAAACAGATAGAAGATCTTAGTGAACAATTGCAGCGCAAGACAAAAGAATGCTACCAATCCTGGATATCTTGGTCTGCAGCTAATCGAGAGCTCGAGAAGGTTAGGATGGAACTTGACAATAAGACATTTCAGACATATTCCTTGGGTAAGGCACTATCATGTTTATGTTTGTTCTTTAGTTTGAAAGTCACTTAAAGAATACCAACTATTGTCTTTAGGCTGTTTTTGAATACGGAGTACCATTTATTCCTGGATTCTACATATTCTTATCGTGTTTCCTATTCAGATGTTTCACTCCTGTACTCATTATGTTTGGAACTTTGGAAAGCTTTAGTTGAGCTTTTCTCTGGGATCAAAGACCTAAGCTGACCTAAATTGAAAAGGAAAAAAACACCTTTCTTTCATGGTATTTGTGCAGACCTTTGAACTAAAAAGAAGCTGATTTGGTTTATACTAAAAAAAAGCTGATTTGTTAATTGTTTTTTATGCTCATCTGATTTCTGCATATGCTAGTTGGTTTAAAATGATTTGTTCTCTGGGCTCGTTCCATTGGTGTCATTCATCATTGAATTTCATTGATGCTAATTCATTTTGAAGGACATTCCAAGAAAAACTTAAGTCACTTTTTCTCTTCTTTCTGCTTTTAAAAAATTGATTAGCATTTTTTTGAATTACCACCTTTTTTCTCTGTACTTCTAGAAAAAGTGAAACCTTCTAAACATTAATTATATGTTATTCTAGTTGACAGAATTTCAAGAGATTTTCCCATATTGTAGATAAAACTTTGGAGAATCAGGCTTTGAAATTGACTGAGGTGTCAAATAAGTACGAGCATGATAAACAAGTATGGTGTGTGGCAATCAATGATCTACAACAAAAAGTAAAGGTATTCCACGGCTTCTATTGCAACATGCTGGATTTCGCGTAGAAACTTGAACAATTTATATGAAATGCAGTGCATGACATTTTGCAGATTATGAAACAAGAACATTCTNGAGTGTGTTACTTCAATCCCTGACTTGAACAAAATGGTCTTTGCAGTTCAATCACTTGGTTAGTTTTGGCTGTACTGTAATAGATGCTCTCTCTCTCTCTCTCTCACACACACACATATTCACTCATATACATATTTCCTGGAGTAAACTGAGTGGATCCAATGCAGTTGACCAATGCGATGATCTTAAATTAAAGTACAATGAAGAGCAAGCAAAGAGAAGAAAGCTCTTTAATGAAGTTCAGGAGGCCAAAGGTACATATTTGTAAAATATTTCATAAAAACTGCAAGTACTTAGTTCGGTTTTTTTAACTATTGAATTACTGTTGTTGCTACAAATGCCAGGAAATATAAGAGTATTTTGTCGGTGTCGTCCATTGAGCAAAGCAGAGGTTTCTGCAGGGTGTTCAGTGGTGATGGACTTTGAATCAGCTAAGGATGGAGAACTTGGAATTATAAATGGTGGCTCTACCAAAAAGACCTTTAGGTTCGACCGTGTCTACACGCCAAAAGACGATCAAGGTCTGACATTTTCTTTGAAATAAAAAAGATAAGGGGGTGTTTGTGTTATATTTATGATAAGTTTTGCAGAGTCTGATTTGTTCCTTTTATATGTTAACAGCGGATGTATATGCCGATGCTTCACCAATGGTGATTTCAGTTTTAGATGGGTACAATGTTTGCATTTTTGCTTATGGGCAAACGGGAACTGGGAAAACATTCACAATGGAGGGTAACAAGGAGAACAGAGGAGTCAATTACCGCACCCTCGAAGAATTGTTTAAAATTTCAAAGGAGAGGAGTGATATGTTCACCTATGACATATCTGTCAGTGTACTTGAAGTTTATAACGAGCAGATTAGGGACCTTTTGTCTACATCATCTCCATCTTCATCAAAGAAGTATATATTCATTATCCCCTACTTCCATTTTAAGTACATTGATGTTTTCTTCAAGTTAATCTCCTCTAACTTTTTTTTTGTTTTCAGGTTGGAGATTAAACAAGCTTCTGAAGGGTTTCATCACATACCGGGAGTAGTAGAAGCTAGAGTTGAGAATATTAATGAAGTATGGAGTGTGTTGCAGGCTGGAAGCAGTGCACGGGTTGTGGGATCCAACAATGTGAATGAGCACAGTAGCCGTTCTCACTGGTAAAAAGAAATATTTGATCTGTTCTTCTTCCAACTTGCATCCTTGTCTACATTTTCAAGTGTATCGTATACATATTACTGAATATATATTTTTCTGCTTTGGGATTTTAGCATTCTTTGCATAATGGTGAGAGCTAAGAACTTGGTAAATGGCGAATGCACAAAGAGCAAGCTTTGGCTTGTGGATTTGGCAGGGAGTGAGAGACTCGCAAAGACTGACGTGCAAGGTGATCGCCTCAAGGAAGCTCAAAACATCAACAGATCACTTTCAGCTTTAGGAGATGTGGTGTCGGCTTTAGCCAATAAAAGCAGCCACATTCCATACAGGTTTCAACTCTTTATTTTATTCTCCTATCGAAAAGGTTCATCTGCTATAGATGTGTTCTAACTTTTACTTTTGTCACTAGGAACTCGAAGCTGACACATCTACTTCAAGATTCATTAGGTAAGTTCACAAGTGATTTTCGAGTTCATTAGCACTTTGTTTGGTACAAGGAATTTGAAAGAGAAAAGAAAAGAAAATGATATGGAAAACAAGCTTTCTTGTTTGGTTAGAGAAAAAAGAAAAGAAAAGTGGAAGGAAAAGAAAATGAAAGAAGAACAAACAAAGAAGGAAACCAACTTTCCTTCCACTTTGGTGAGGAAAAAGAGAGAAACCCTTTTTCTTTCTTTTCTTCCAAATTCCTCGAACCAAACATAGCATAGGTTTTACAGATGATTGGCAGTTCTGAAATGATCATTTGTCACATCTGAAACTGGGTTTTTCTTTGCAGGTGGTGACTCCAAGGCATTGATGTTTGTACAAATCAGTCCTTCGGACAAGGATTTAAGTGAAACTTTGAGCTCATTAAATTTTGCTACCAGAGTCCGAGGGGTCGAGTTGGGACCCGTAAGGAAACAAATCGATACAAGTGAACTCCAAAAAATGAAAGCAATGGTATGTTTGCGTTTGGGGTAGTGTTTAAAGAAATGAGGTGGTCGAATCATAGAAAAACATTCGACCTAATGATTGAATAGTTGTGTTCTTTCTTCGTGTGTTCTTGCAGCTTGACAAGGCACGCCATGATTCTAGGTCCAAAGATGAGTCCCTAAAGAAGCTTGAAGACAGCTTGCGGATCTTAGAGAGTAAGACCAGAGAGAAGGAGCAGGCTTGGAAAAGCCAACAAGATGAAATCAAGGAATTGAAAGGCCAACTTGAATCAAAGATGTCTTTGCATTCCCAGTCCGAAAAACAGATCCTTCTCATGTCTGATAGATTGAAGGGCAGTGAAGAGATGTGCTCTACTCTTCAACAAAAGGTTTGGTTGGTCAGTTGCATTTTTAGTTTCGCGTGAGATTTTATTTGTCCAAAAACTATTGTATGATTTTTGGCTGTCATCACTGCTGAAGGTCACTGATCTGGAGAAGAAGCTGAGGGAGCAAGAACAGTTAGATTATGAGAACTACAAGAACAAGGTTCAGTAGAAATTCTGGAAACAATTCTGCCTGAGAAACATGACTATTTGCTATATTGCATCCTTTGTTTTTTAGACATTTAATTTCTTGGTTATTGTAAAACAGATCAAGGATCTTGAAAAGAAGCTGAAGGAACAATTACAAGAATCTGAGGCTCATTCTATCATCCTTCAACTTAAGGTTCCTTCCTCCACTCCAAATCTCCAAGAAAGATATATTAGAGTTCACATTGTAAATAAATAACAAATATCTTAAAATAATTAAGTTTGAATGTATCTTTTGCATAGCTACCTATTCTCTTTCCATACTTTCTATCTTATGGATTCCAAACGGAACGTAATGGCTGTTTTTCGCATGTTATTTTCAGGTTGATGAGCTAGAGAAGAAACTGAAAGAACAGGAAAAGAACTCAGAGGAGCTAGAGAAGAAACTGAAAGAAGAGCAGGAAAAGAACTCCACCATACCACCACTGCAAGAAAAGGTGGAAGAAAAGAAAGGGAAAAAAGAAGAGCACCCGGCAGAAGCAATGGATGAAACAACAGACGACCACCACCACCACATTCTCAAGAACTCGAACGCGGTCAACTGCCAGAAGAAGGAACTGTCTGTTCAACGGAAGCGGATGTCGACAAACGGCGAAGCAGAGAACAGCGCCGCCATGCCACCAACAAGCAAGAGGAAGGAGCACGAAACTCCTGTGGCGCAGCAGCATGAAGTGAGGAGGAGGAAGAGGGTGTCCAAAAACGAGGTGGAGAACAATGGGTTTTTGGGTACGGGCGAGAGGAGGGGCAGGAAATCTGACCCTCCAAAACTGTTTGGTGGGGGCGTGAAACCCCCCACTCCCAAGCCAAGCCTCGTACCGTTTGCGGCAGCTCAGAGGACGTTGCAGCCCCGTGGTAGGGGAGGAGATCCGGTCCAGGGAGTTAAGGAGAGGGATTCCAAGAAAAGGATCTGGTCAAGATGATAATAATATTCATAAGTTTAGCCAACTCTTACACAGTTTGGTTTTCATTTGGCGCGGAGCATTTGAGTTTATATAGTCAATTTGATTGAGTTCTGATTGTTTTTATAAATCTACTTAGATTTAAAAGCTTACCACGTGCTTGACAAGCCATTACAATGGATTGTAGCAACCCTAGGTACAAGACTTGAAAGATATCTTGCATAAAACTTCACAAACACTTGGATTCCTCATCAAAGACTTTAATACTAAGATTACGGATGCTTAGTAAACCCAAATACAACAAGAAGAATTGTTTCTACATTCCAATACAATAACATCATGTGAGTAATTTGCTTTAGGGCGCGGGATTTTCGAAGCAAGAACAATTTATAAATTGGTACCCTCTCAAGAGATCTGCACTTGGAGGTCATTGGTGGTCTCGGGATATCGTTCTCCCAAATTGGTATTCCTTATACTCCCTCCGTCCTGGAGTATTCGTCCAGTTTTGATTTTTGGAACTGTTCATCTAAGCACTTTGACTCATCAAATTCTCTCAATGTGTAAGCCTAAATATAGTCATGTGTGATCTTGTTTTATTTGTCTTAACATATAGATTATTAATATATAATTTCTATAATTTTTTAATATACAAATTACAAGATAAAATGAATTAAAGAAGTGTATTGGATAGTGTGTAAAAATGAAAGTGGACAAATACTTTGGGACGGAGGTAGTATTAATTAATGAAGGCAAATTCTTCCATGCACCTACAGTTCATGCTCATTATATGAACCTTAGTGCATTCGTATTACAAAAGAATTGTGCCTCTTCAAAAAAGAAAATATTCACATGCAAGCTCATGAAAAATGTGAGAAGGTCTACATTTTAAATGTTAATCTTGGCACCATCTAAACATCACTCATTAAGAGCTAAACTTTTTTATGTAGTTAGGATATACACAAATGATTAAATGAGTTTAACTATTGATTAAAGCTAGGGTACATCAAAATGGTGTACTCATTTGAACACCAAATTAAAGGATCGCTGGCACATAGTGTTTGTGTGTGTCTATGTTGCTCTGGTGTACAAATGGGTACACCACCCCTAGCATGACCCTTAATTATTACTCGCGGTACTCGCTTGTTTATTACGCAGTACAAATCATCCACGTTAATAAATAGAGAACATAATTAGAGGAAGGGGCCAGAAATGTAGTGGATGGAAGAACAAAGAACACATCCTAGCAAGCAACAAAAACTTACACGCGAGTTTTGTTGAAATAACTCGCAGGTCCTTGCATTTTCAAAAAGACATCAAGGACCCTTACATTTTGTTGTAAAGATTGGGAGGGGACATTTCTTCTACTATTCCGTTAGTGACCGTTAAAAAATGTACTTTCCTCAATTTATCCTTACTATAGTCATTTTATAAATTACATTAATTTTTATATCAGACAAACAATTTCGAATTTTTAGAAAAAAGAAACTAAAAAGTGAAGACCCTAAGCTTTATTAACATACACCATTAAGAGCAAAATAAGAAAAAATACAATTTTTTATGGTCATTAACGGAATAGTAGATAGAATGTTCCCTCTCAGTTTGAACAACAAAATGTAAGGGCCCTTAGTATCTTTTTAAAAATATAGAGACCTGTGAGTTATTTTAACAAAATTGGTGTCACCCGGCGGTAACTTTTTGTAGCAAGCAGTCTGTTAAGATTTTCTGTCCCGGGGCGCAAAACGAAAAAAAGGGCTCGTACATCAAATATTAAACCTTTGAATAATGTTTTTATTAATAATGAAGCTCAATAAATACAAAAGTAAATATTTTCAATAAAAATAAAAAAATATACTCCCTTCCTTTCAAAAATAATGTCATTACACAAAATGAAATGAAATTCTATATTTTTTTCAAGTCAATTTATTTAAAGATTTGTATAGAAACAAGAAATAATAACTTACATATTTAAAAACTACATCAAAAGTTCTATAAAATAATACTCAGCTCCCTCCGTCTTCCAGTTTTTGTCTACTTTTGACTTTTGGAACTGTTCAACTAAGCACTTTGACTCATCAAATTCTCTCAATGCGTAAGCCTAAATATAGTCATGTGTGATCTTGTTTGATTTGTCTTAACATATAGATTATTAATATATAATTTCTATAATTTTTTAATATAAAAATTACAAGATAAAATGGATTAAAGAAGTGCATTGGATGATGTGTAAAAATGAAAGTGGAAAAATACTCTGGGACGGAGGGAGTAGGTGACAAAAATATTTTATTTTATAAAATAATCAATAAAAACGCACATACAAATAAACAAAAATTCTCATAATTTTTTATTAGTAAAACGTGACATACTTTTTGGGACAGAGAGAGTATAATATTAGGTTGTGTTTGCTTTTGAGAAAATATTTTTCTAGCAGAATAATTTATAAGGGAAATTTATTTCCAAGGAAAATTATTTTCCAATCATATTTTCTATTGCTTGGTAGGCCAAAAGGAAAATGTTTTTAAAAAAACAATTTATACTATCAATATATGAAAATTAATATTAAAAAAGTTATTTTGATAAAATTTAATAATATCATTTTTGTACCATACGAAGCGATCCAAGGTGAATAGGGGGCGCGGGGGGTGGAAGGGGGTCATGGAATTATTGGTGCATGGGTGGCAAGTGACGGACGACGACGGGAGGGGATATATAGAGGGTGACGGGTGGTAGAAGGGGCGGGGTAAAGGTGGGGGCTAGAAGGGAAGGGTATGGGGCTGGACGGGATGGGGGATGGGGGACGTGCGTGATGGACGAAGCGAACATATATAGAATGAAAAAGTTAAGAGTAAATTCCATAAAAGGTCCCCAGTTATAGGTCGTTTTACATATTTAGTCCATACATATCAAATATTATTAATTTAGTCCCTAATTATTAGATTCATTTTCACGAATGGTCTTTTGTTAACATTTTCGTTAAGAACGTGGATAAAATTGTAAGTTTACACACTCTCTCTTCTCAATTAAGCTTCCTCCCTCCCCTCGCACTCCTTTCCCAAACCCGTCGCTGAGTTTGAAGCTTTGAACTCAAAACCGAAATCATCACTCTTCTCTCAATTGTTTGTTGAACTGGTGGAACCCAAATTCGAAACCAGTAACTTTCATGGATGAATTTTAATGTTTATTTTCTTTGCAATTTCTTGAGACTAACCGATAAAATTCATCCATAAAGCTTATTGGTTTTGATTTTAGGTTCCACCAGGAAGACTAATAATTGAGAGAGGAGTAATCATTTCAGTTTTGGGTTTAGAGCTTCAAACTCAGCAACGAGTTTGGGAAAGAGTACGAGAGGAGGGAGGAAGCTTAATTGAAGAGAGAGAGAAGTATGAATATGGAATTTTATCCATGTTCTTAACAAAAACGTTAACAAAGGACCATTCGTAAAAAAATGATATAATAATTGGGAACTAAATTAGTAATATTTGATATGTAGGGACTAAATATGTAAAACGACCTATAACTGGGGACCTTTTATGGAATTACTCAAAAGTTAAATTACAAAAACAAATTTATACTTAAAGATATAAATTTAACACTAAAGATAAATATAATTGGAACTCCATAGGCTAAATATACTTCCTCCGTCCTAAAATGTTTGTCACATTTTCTTTTTCAACAATCACGTAAACTTTCATTTTTTTGTACGTTTTTCATTATTGATTATTTGACAAAATAAAATATTATTGACACCTTCTATATCGAAAAATTATTCATCATGTAGTTTTTTGGAATATGATTATTTTTTATTTCGATACCAATATTTAAATAAAATAAATTAAAAAAAACTTGATGCTCTTCCTTGTTAAACAAAATATGATAAACATTTAGGGGAGGAGGGGAGTACTTAGGAGGTCGGGAACAAGTGAACAAGCGTCCGATCTCACCTCCCTCAAGACCGGGCCTACTTGCCGCTAGCTAGTATAGGTCATGTCATGCATGATTGCAAACCTCGTCGTCATACGGTGAAGGGCGTCGTTGGATATGATCGATCGATGATATTTGTACTATATATATATATATATATATATATATATTGGATTATTTAATTAAAATGAGACTTTTCGATCTTTTCATTGGATGGTGGAACCAAAGCCATGCCATGCCAGCCACAACTTACGTATGCACTATTGCACACATACCACCTTATTCACTTCACTTCCTCCGTGCCCATCCAAATTAAACAAACCTTTCACATTATTTATGCATCCCCTCTCCCTCTCTTCATACATACATACATACATATATATATATATATGTATGTATATATATATATATATATACACATATACTCGATCTGTATATCCCTTGATATTGTCCAACCTCTCCCTCCTTCCGTTTCATAATTATTACACCCCCTTAACAACAACAAAAGATTAATTACTCCCTGCGGTTTATAAATTTTCTCTTATTTGGATTTTTATGAATTTTAAGAAAAAGATATTTTTTAATTGACTTTATTAACAAATTATTCTTGATATAGTGAGTACGATTGGTAGATTATCAGTGTCTTAATAAATATAATTGATGTTATCGATAAAGAATTTGTAGGAGAAAAATAATTTTTTAATGACAATCTGTATTAAAAAAATAAAATATCACGTGCATCTTTCGCATATATATTTATCATTAAATAATACTGAGTACGGATTAATTAGTGGCTACTGATAAATTGAAACTAGGGGTGGGCACAGGCTAGTCGGGCCGATTTTAAGACCCGGCTTCGACTTGTTTTTAGAATAAACCAGCCGAGACCGGCCAGGTTGTTGAAAAACTCAACACCAAAATACATTCCCCTTAAACCCCTTAAGAATCAAAACAATCTCATGTTTTCAGGGACGGAAGGAGTATTAAATTAAGGATTTAAAATACATTACAAACAAGTAAACAATGTATAATTTTATTAATAGAATATTGAATAAACCATATTATTTATTAATACAATTTGATAAAAAGAATAAAATGTATTATTTACTAAACTTTAATTTATG